TACTCAACTACCCTCATCGGGCGGGAGGTTTTAATAGCTAATTCGCCTCTTTTTATGCTATTACTTATAATTAATCGCCGAAGGCGAGGTGATTATCGGGGAATATTCGCCGAGACGAAGTTGAGGTGTCTTAACGTAGCTAAAACGGAATTCATGATAATAGGATCTCGTCAAAGATTACTAGTACATGATAACGAACACATAAGGATAGAAATCGACGGAAAGTCAATTAAGAGAGTCAACGAAACGAAATTCTTAGGCTTGCAAATCGATGGGCATCTTACATGGGCACGACATGTCGAAAATATTTCCAAAAAGATTGCATCAGCTATTGGAGCTCTTAAACGGATACGCCAATTTGTAGATACAAACACTGCTCTGAAAATTTATGGTGCGTTAATATGATGCTAGCTCCAGCGACCTTTTTAATAAGCTGGGCTGGGATAATCTTTTAACACGTCGGAAAAAGCATAAGGCTATACTAATGTTTAAAACAATTAACGATCTAACTCCGTTTTATCTCCGTGAATTGTTTGAATCTCGCAGCACAGAATATAACTTAAGAAACTCTGAACACACCTTATTTGTACCAAAACCAAGAACCAACTACGGTAAGCGAAGTTTCAGTTATAGCGGGGCAGTGTTATGGAACGAGTTACCACAAAATGTACGAAAAACATGCTCCGTAAGTCAATTCAAAAGAGCAATGACAATTTGTTCTCTATATGAGATGGACTCCCGCACGGCAATCTTGTAAATCAGTATTTTAGTGTTTGGATATGTTTAAAGTGTATATTTATTGATTGATATTTTTTTTATTGATATTTTATTAAGATAAACCGACATTGTAACCGTAGGTTAAATTGCATCGGTCTTTACAATATTAAACTAAGTAAACTACATTATATTTACAATAAGAATTAACTACTTGATGTTTATAGTAAAAATTTTAAAATACAATAGATCTATTTACTATTTTCTTTAGAGATAGTTCGTGGTAAAAACAAGTTTTTAAATCTGTCCGTTTTACATGAAAAGTTTTTATATTTACATTTTGACCTCGTGTCATAATCTGACGAAGTTTTACAGATCAGATGTTCGTAAACTTTACTGTTACTTTCATTCTTCGCAAAGAATTGGTCACATAGTTCATCACGTCTTGTTTTGAGTAATGGGAGGTCGGTCAGTTCACGTGCCTGCCTATAGCTTAATGAAGGCAATATGATTCTTAGTGCGCGTTTTTGGATTTTCTCAATCTGATCACTTAAGTATTGTTGAATATTAAAATGCCAAACTTGGCAGGCATATTCTAAAACAAGTCTTATGATGGAAGTGAAAACCGTGAGCAATATGTTCAAATTGGCATTCGATCTTTTCAAAATCCGAAGCATGTGCAGTCTTTTTCCAGCTTTCCTAACAATTTGGTGTATGTGGTCGTTCCAATTCATATTATTTTGAAAGGTAATTCCAAGGATGCGAGTTGATTCTGGTACGTCGTTGATCAATAGAGGCGTAAAGTTACGTTTTTCTTTGGAAAAGTCAATGACAATTTCTTTACATTTTTCTACGTTGAGCTTCATATTGTTTGCGATAGTCCAGTTATAAATATAGTCCACTAAGTCTTGGAGATTACTGTTACAGTGAGGTGGGATACTTTCGGTGACCGTACAGTCGTCGACATATTTCCATCTATCAGGCCATTCAATAAGTAGGTCGTTTACCATGATAAGAAAGAGAACAGGACCCAAAACTGTCCCTTGAGCTACTCCTCCATTTACATTGCGCCAATCCGACAAACAGTTGTTCAGTTTTACTCGTTGTTTACGTCCCGTGAGAAAGCTTTGAATCCAGTCTATTATAGTTGATGGTACGTTCATATCAGACAGTTTCTGCAAAAGAATAGAATGGTCGATACGGTGGAATGCCTTCGAGAAGTCAAGAAGGAATACTCTTATGGCACTCTTTGCCGCGTCTGTCTCGCTTAGTAGATGATGTACGAGACTTATTAAGTTGTGGGTTGTTGAGGTGTTTTTAAGTGAACCAAACTGTCTTTCATCTATTTTTTCTTTGATCGAATCAATCAACCAATCGGCAACAAAACTTTCGCAAATTTTTGAAAGTGTAAGAGTTAGCGATATACGGCGTAAATCGGTACTTATATCAACAGGTACTGTTACTTTTGGGATTGGGATAACGTCAGCTTCTTTCCACGATGTAGGAACGTGCGCTTGTTGCAGCGAAGCGTTAAAAATTGAAGATATAGGTAAAGCTAAGACGTGGGCGTACTCCTTGAGCACCCAATTTGGTGTTTCGTCGGGGCCAGATGATTTTGAAGAGGATATAGTAATTAATTTTTTGTATATGTTTTCTTCACTGATAATATACTCAGGGAGGGTAAGATATTGACTACTATCGATCTGGGTTTCAGTGGGGGGTTGTTTCAAGGGGGACATTTCTTGAGTAGTTGCGGTAAAGGCATCGTTGATTTTATTAGCTAGGACTTCCCCGTTGATGATCTCGTCGTCCCAAACTAGGGAGGAGAAAACTTTTTTCTTTGGGTATCCTGCAAGTTGTTTAATGCACTCCCACCACTTCTTAGGGTTAGGGTTCGATTTCAGCTGGTCCATCATCTTTCGAAGGTAGGCAGATCTAAGTTTTGCACATTGTCTATGTGAAAGGTTACGAAGGTAGTGGTACTGTTCGATTTTACCGTCATGGTAATCTTTTTGCCTATTTAGAATAATCTTCTTAAACTCAGGTGTTACCCAGGGTTTGTCTTTATCATGCAACCTCACTGTTTCTCAGGGGAAGAAAAGATCTAATCCTGTTTTTAAAACATTTTGAAAAATGGCTAATTTCTGTTCGCATGATACTTCTCGGTACAGTGTTGTCCAATTGATGTCAGCTAGCCACTTCCCAAAAGCAGATTTGTCGGTTGGATTCCGTTTCCTTTTCTTCACTTTGGTGGTCATATTTTTAGCTTGGGATTTCTTGAAAATACAAATCAGCGAATTATGATCACTTTGTCCTACGGGTGAAGTAACCAGTGGAGGATCACAAAAGGTCGGCATATTTGTGAGAATTAGGTCTAAAATAACGTTATTTCTAGTTGCTTCTCTAACAATTTGTTTTAACGTGAAGTGCCTAAGTAATTCGGACACCGGACATCTATTGAAGTCGCCAAGAAGGAAGATCCCTGCGTTTGGATATTTTGCAAGGGCGAGGTCGAGGTTTATCGTTAAGTGATCGACTAAGGCTTTATTATCATTTTGTGGTGGGTGAACCACGAGGAAGTTTATAGGGTCTTACGTAAAGCCAGGGTTTCGAAGCTGTCGTCTTGTAATTCGGTTAATATCTTAAAGGGAGTATGTGAATTTATAAATGCACACACTCCTCCGATCTTATTAACTCTATCACGCCGCACTAATACGTAGCCATCAATTTGGACCGCCCCATCGTCAATATTATGGTTTAGCCACGTTTCGGTAATAAACGCAAAGTTAATGTTATTTAGCTTGAGAATAGTTTCTAAGTGATCTATCTTTGGTACTAATGATCGGACGTTCGATAAGAAAAAGGTTAATCGGTGTGTTTGAACTAATTGTTTTTTACAGTTCTCATTGCCTTCTGTAGTTGGAATATTGATCAGGTTAGATGGATTTCGAAGCCGCTTTTTTCGATTAGGGGGGTTATGACCTCCAATTTTTGGACGCGAAGGCAACCAGTCGTTCGTTAACACGTTAATCGGTGTACGAGATCGAGATGGTTGATCCAGTCTGGCTCTTTGCTTTGTAGTGGGTACCGGAACCACGGGAGGTGGGAGTGATCTAATTAATTGTCATAGCGTAATTTGTAATTATATGTTAGTTAATTATCTTGTAAAATGTTATACTGTAGATTTTACCGTGTTAAAATAAAGTTTTTGATTGATTTGATTGATTGATTGATTGATTGATTGATTGATTGATTGATTGATTGATTGATTGATTGATTGAGTATGTCTGTTGTTGATCTTAGTCATTTGGTAAACAGCGAAAATTTGAATAATTATTATAAAGTTATAGTTGGCCATTTTAAAAACTTGTGTAGACTGTTAAACGTTATTTAGTAGACCGAATATTACATGGTGGCAGCGGTGAGATAATGGATGGGTTTGTGAAACCAAGCCAGTTGTCTTTTGAAGGCAATTTGGCAGAGAATTGGCGACGATTTAAGCAAAAATTTGAGATATTTATAATTGCATCGGGATTTGAAAAGAAGTCCGGCAAGGAGAAATACTGTATGTTTTTTAAACATCGCCGGTGAACAAGCAATCGACGTTTACAACACATTTTGCTTTGATGAGAAAGAAGTCGATGATCTTAAAGTGTTGATGAACAAATTTGAAGCATACTGTAATCCTAAACGGAATATAACGTACGAACGGCATTTGTTTAATACTCGAGTTCAAAATGTGGGCGAAACCATTGATGCGTACGTAACCGAATTAAAAATACAAGCTAAGAACTGTGAATTTGGGGGCTCTTTGCGATGAACTAATGGGATAGAATTGTCGTTGTCATACGCAGTTAGAAGTCGATTACTTCGCGAGACAGAATTGGATTTACATAAAACCGTAGACATTTGTCGAGCGCTAGAACAATCGTAGAGTCATATGAATGCCATTAAGAAAGAGGAAAAGATTCAATTAGTCAAAAAATTTGAAGCTAAACGGACGGGACAACAACGTGATAACCAGAATAAGAAAGGCAAAGCACGGTCAACTGCAAATACTGTGGTTTATCACACGAGAGAGACAAAGAAAAGTGTCCGGCGTGGGGTAAAACTTGCCGATCATGTGGGAAAAAGAATCATTATGCTAAAGTATGCACCAGCCGAGGCGACAGTAATCGTCGGCAAGCACGTTCATTAGAGACAGGAGATTTATATATTGGAACCATCGCAAAATACATCCTGCTGTGCAAGTATACTGGGATTATCAAGAAGAGCTTATTATTCAGAATGAGCTGAATTTCAAACGTGACAAGGTCGTGATCCCAACAGCACTAAGAGCAGACATGCTGAAAGCAGTACATCAACCACACCTTGGTGGAGAAGCCAGCAAACGACGAGCTCGTGAAGTTCTGTTTTGGCCTTCAATCGACAGGGACATCAAGAAAATGGTTAAATCGTGTAGTGTTTGCAATCGAAACCGTAACCAACAGCCAAGAGAAACCCTCAAGCCTCATCCAGTACCTAGCAGACCGTGGGAACGGATTGGAGTTGATCTATTTACATTCCATCAGAGGAACTACCTCATTACATCCGCCGTGATTTCGAAGTTAAAGTCGCAAATGGCACGTCATGGGATTCCAGATGTACTCATTAGTGGCAATGATCCACAATTTTGTTGCAAGCAGTTTAAAGAGTTCAGCCAGAAATGGGAATTTATCCATGTAACAAGCTCACCTGTCTACCCACAAAGCAATGGTGGTGTGGAGAGAGCGGTCCAAACAGCAAAGACCCTTATGAAGAAAGCTTTCGACAGTGGAGAAGATCCATATATGTCCTTATTAAATCATCGTAATACGCCTAGAGACAGTGTATTCGGAAGTCCAGCCCAGCGTCTTATGTCAAGAAGAACCAAGACTATTTTGCCTGTAACTGAAGAACTTTTGGTACCCCAAGTAGTAAGTCCAGAGAAAGTGCAAGACCGTTTACAGCATTATAAACATTTACAGAAAAAGGCTTATGATAAGAAGTCACAAAATTTACTAGCGTTAAAGAAAGGTGATATGGTAAGAATTCAAGAGGAAAAAGGATTTTTGAAAAAAGGAATAGTCGTGGAGGAAACCAACTATCCAAGATCATATCAAGTTAAGACCTCGAGTGGTATATTTTGGAGGAATAGGAGACATTTGTTGAAAGTGGAAGAACTGGAAGAAATTTCAGAAGAATCAGATGATGTAGCAGTGGAAATACTACCGCAGAGAGTTCAGTTACCGTTAAATAATAAACAGGATTGTACAATAGCAAATGATGCCGAACATGATAAACAATTAACTTATACTAGATCAGGACGACTGGTAAGGAAACCAGACAGGTTGAATTTGTGATATTGACTTTAATTAAAATAAGTCGTAATGGTAACTTAGTGATATTTATAGTTATATTGACATTTCCAGTTATATTGACATTTAGTATTAATAGGTATAGACGTTATAAATGTTCGAGCAAAAAAACAATTTAAAAAGAGGGAGATGTAATAATAAGTTAATAATGTGCATGAATAATTAATGTTAATTATCTATATATATGTTCAGCTGTTGTAAATAAAGTTAGTTGACCATTTTAAAAACTTGTGTAGACTGTTAACGTTATTTAGTAGACCGAATATTACAAAGGTATATCATGTATTATACTATGCAATCTTTACCATCCCCCCTAAAGGAAACGATCAGGATTTAATTAACTACTTGTACGAGGCTTTAACAACAATTGAGGCACGATTCACCAATTGTGGCGTAATAATCCTTGGAGACTTCAATAAACTAAACCTTTCCAGACTGAAAAATAGTTTCAAACTATGCCAGATCGTCAAATTTCCAACTCGTGGCTCTAGCTCCCTTGACCTGGTACTTACCAACATGAAACGGGTTTATGATGAACCAACTAAACGTCCACCTTTTGGCCTCTCCGATCATTTATCAGTCGCAATTCAACCTTTGAAGAGACCAATTAACCAAAAGGCGAAATTTTATACGATCTCCCGGGACTTGAGCCCCAGGAAATGGCTGATAATGCGGAAATACTTAGAAGAAGTGGGTATTAAGAGCCTAATCGAAACGCAAAACTCATGTAATACGAAGGTAGAAATGCTCGAATCAATAATTAACTATGGACAAGATACATTACCTTTAAAATCCAAATTGAATGTCTCCAATGACCCCCCTTGGATCTCTCAATCATTAAAAAAATTGATCTGACACCGACAAGCCGCTCTAGCTCGTGGTGATGAGACACTGTTTAAATCCTTAAGAAACCAAGTCAATCGAGAACGCAAGTCGTGCCGAGGAAAATTTTATTCATCGAAGATTGAATATTTAAAAACCTGTTCACGGGCGGAGTGGTGGAAAGAAGCCAAAAAACTGAGCGGTATCTCGTCACAGGTTCGCATAGACCCAATCTCTCTCTCACGGAAGTTGGATTGTGGCCAATATGATCAACAAAACATTTTTAGAACCTACAAAAGATTTTGATGCTCTACGTCAGAAAACTGGTGATGATATACCAATAGAAAATATACGACCGTACCACGTATCTGAAATGTCCGTCAGCAAGAAGCTAGCCAACCTAATTAAAACTAAAGCATGCAACAGGACCTGACGGTATCTCGGCCTGGTTGCTGAAGGAGAATTCCGACATTTTAGGTGCTCCAATTTCGGACAACTTTAGACGAAATTGTTAGGAAAAATGAACAAAGTAAAGTTCAAACCCTTATAGATGACCTAACAAGACAAATCCCTGAGAACCAATTCAAACTTAACGAAACTAAATGCAAGGAGTTACGAATCGGAATCTGCAAACCAAGAGCAATGTTTGACCCTATTATAGTAAATGGAGAAATCTTGGAAGTGGTCCACAGTGCTAAAATCCTTGGTCTGAGCGTTTCTAACAATTTGAAATGGAACAATCACATTGACCAAATTATATCGAAGGCGCGAAAGTGTCTCTATTTTCTCTCCCAACTTAAGAGAGCGAGAGTTGGCAAGAAAGAACTTGTCCTATTAGGAGTGTTTTATCAGGTTTAAAGCCACTGCACGTGACATATTATGGTTGACATGATTTGCCAATAAGCTTATGAATGATTAATTAGTGTTTGAAGAGTCATATTAACAGTTTCATTACGTGGTGGAAGAAGATTATAAAGCTTATGCATGGCATCATCAGTCACTATTTCTTCAATTAGTTTGTCTGAAAGACCGTCTCTTCGATGGCTGAGTCGTTGTAGGCCAGTTGATTGTAAAGCGTCTTCATATGAGACCCAAGGTAAGATAATTCGCAATGCTCTCTTCTGGATCCGCTCCAAATCCTGACTGAGGTAATTTGTCAAACCATTGTGGAATACAGGACTTGCATATTCTAGGATTGGTCTTATGCACGTTGTAAAGAGTTAGTATTCTTTATATAAAGAATACTAATAAGGCAGAATCTCTTGTAGTCGTGTCCTCATTAGTATTCTTTATATAAAGAATACTAGTAAGGCAGTATATCTATTGAATTTGTAGTCGTGGCAGAAGCCGTTTAAGGTGGCTCAATACAGTTTACAATAAAATGGAAAATTCACGATTTAGATGCGTATTTTCGGACAATTATTACTTGTTGATAAACAAAAAGTACCTTATTTATATAAAACAACATCTAAAGAGTTTGAATTTTTACACAAAATTTACGTAACTGTCGTTGCTATGGCAACAATGACGTTTCAAGATGGCGGATATTTTGGTTTAAAGTAATTTAACTCGTAAACGACATCGGTTACCCCCAAATTTTATTTTAAAAAATGATTTCTCTTAGTATAATCAATTATTTTGACAATTTAAAAAAAGTTCATTATACTAAGAGAAATATTTTTTTAAAGTAAAATTTGGGGGTCACCGATGTCGTTTACGAGTTAAATTACTTTAATTATTAAAAACCAAAATATCCGCCATCTTGAAACGTCATTGTTGCCTTAGCAACGGCAGTTGCGTAACTTTTGTACAAAAATTCAAACTCTTTAGATGTTGTTTTATATAAGTAAGGTACTTTTTGTTTATCAACAAGCAGTAAATCGTGAATTTTCCAATTTTTAAAAAACTGTATTGAGCCACCTTAATAAACTCGCAGGTCGTGTTTTATTGGTCTAAAGCCACTCGCGCTGCGCGCTCGTGCCTTTAAACCTGATAAAACACTCCTGCTCGTTTATTAAACAGTACTTAGATCCAGTCTTAGATTTAACGTTGCATTTCAAACTAACCGTTTTAAAAATAGTTTTGTTATACATAATGCATTAAATTATTCATCATAAAATTATTAGAACATTCTTAGATCCTTTTAGAGACATTTAGTTGTATAGTATTTTAATAGTTTCTTAACTTGTAAATATAAGCGTAATTCAGCCTATTGGCTGCAATGTTTATATGAAATAAACCATCTATGTATCTAAGCCTATCTGAAAAATATACGTAGAATTTCGACGTTTTGAGCGAAGGCCCTTCGGTTTCGACGTTTCGAACGAAGGGCGGTCGCTCGAAAAGTCAAAATTCTCCATATATTTTTCAGGTAGTTGCATCCCTACCAACAAAAGCTTGTTTATATTATTGACACTACCTACACTGGCACAGAAAGTTCAGTATTATTCAAGAAATCACCAACTGTGTGTAAATTCCAAACATGCTCTTCCAAGTGTTAATGCCCGTTAAAGACTGTGATATATAGGTGGAAAAATGTGATTTCAACCGAAATAATTTTTTCCAACTTCCCACATTCATCCAACAATGAGTGGAGTGATCATGAATAATTTATTTGTGTTTTTCTACGATTTTCAGAAATTTCAGTACAGTTATATTTACGAACTACGCAATATTGAAGATTGTATTGATGCTCCCCACTATGATGCTGGGTCGAGAATGTATCTCTACAGATGTCATGAAATGCAGGGAAACCAAGAGTTTCATTATACCCAGGTACATTTTTTCTTCTGAAAACTGAAACTTAGTAGTGTATTGTTAGTTTAAACTACATACAGTAAAAACAAGCTGGCTATAACCACAAGTCTACAATTTAGGGCGTTGAGCACTTTTAAGTGTCATCAAAGAATTGGTGACCAATTGTTCTCATATAACAGATACACTTAGTATGTGAGGTCAGGGTTGGTCCCATGGTTCGGACTCATCGTAATTGGTTCCCGTGGATTTATACTACGGAGCTCTGATGATAACCCAGCCATGTCTCAGTGTATATGTATTGTCAATATTGTAAATTCGTTTTGTTTGTAAGGGCAAAGTATTTTAAATTTAAAAAAAAGTTGTAATTTTACTGAAGTATTTATAAACTAGATCATTCTTTTTTTCATATCTAAATCTGCATCAAATAATTGGTGGCAAATTGTTCTCATATAACAAGTACACTTATAGTATGAAGTCAGAGTTAGTCCATAAACCATTGTAATTGTTACTTCAACTTCACACTGAATTTGATAACATGTATATATGTGAAGTAGCCTACTTATTCTAGTAACAACAATCCAATACAGTCAGTATCGTATTTTGATATGAATGTATTATTACTGCGGCTTTAGAAATTTCTTTCTGCTTCAGCAAAAGTAATTAATATACAAAGTCAAAAGTGGTTCCTTAAGTATTAAAAAAAATACTTTTAAGTATTCCTTAAAGGGAGCCACTTTCGACTTTGCTGCTATATTACTCTAATAATATTTTCATAATTGACTTGTGTTATCTAATTTTATTTTATCCCATTTTATACTTTTCCTTTCGAAACACTAAATAGCAAAGATTTTGTTTCACCTTGCACACTTTTCATAACTTTAAGGAACATTTTATTCGAAGGTTAAATTGGTTGGCTAATCAAACTGAGGGAACAGAATTCAGGACCATGTTGTTTATTTCATTTAAGGGGCCGATTTTCATGTGCGAGTTGTCCGGGCTAAGCGAGTTGACTCGCTTTGCAGCGAGTTGACTCGCTTTGCCTAGTTGACCCGCTTCGTGTATTTATTCCATGTTATTTTAACATTACGATTACATAGCAAACGAGTTGTCCCGCTTGGCCGGGATCCCGCGTGTGGATTGCTGAGAAACGCGCTTAGGCGGGATGAAAATTGTCATGTAATCACTTTCTGCCGAGTTGGACAGGTTCTAAACAATAGATTGATGACATGGCTAGAAATCACGGACATGAGCCGCATACGCCAGCGGACTTTTTCTACGTGAGATTGAGTACTTCGTTTTACGGAAAGACAAAAGTGCAAATTCAAAATGGCGGACAAAAGGAGTGTACGAATAGACTACAATCAACTTCATCACATGTCGTCGGAGTTATTGTATGAAACAAAGCCAAGAAAAAGACTGGTGAAAAAATATCCTAAAACCTTTCAGGTTGAAAGAATCATAGCTCGTAGAACTACTAAAAAGGTAAGAAATATGCGCGATATAAACATTCTCATTTTGTTATTAAACTGTGATCAGATTTGCCTACACGAAAATTAATATTTAATGCCTTGAAATGTATGCTTGAAATTCAAATCAAGTTCAAATCGATAATTAATTGTGTAGTTGACATGTAGTTTCTTTCTTAGTATGAGGAATATCTTGTAAAATGGCAGGATTGGCCATTGGAAAGTTCGACATGGGAACCAAGCTGCCACTTTTCCACCCAGCTCTTGAGGTAAATGGAAGACTTGGAAAAATATAAGGGACTTTACTGAATGTGTAGTGAAGATATAAAGGGATAAGAAGTGTTTACCAAAATATTTATAAATGAAAATGTTATTGAATATTTTGCAGAAATTATGACAACCCAGTGAAGCCTACTAAAGAAAGACTATATGAGGCAGGAAGACAATTTTTTTCTGGAATAAACACTGCTTTAAAAGGAAAATCGAGAGCACCAGTTTACGTCCATATTGATGGTGACATATGGCAATATTTGAGTCACAACAAAGGCAGAAATTCTGAGCATCGTGGATTTAAACTTTATGAAAAAGATGATTTCTGTCTGTTCAAAGAACTTCCAGACAACTGGTGGTATATCCTTGATAAGAATGGTGAAGGTTATGCAATAGACTTTCCTGTGAAAATAAAGCCATTAGTAACATGGACTACTGCCAATTTTATTTGGAAAAACAATAGTCTTGTAGAAGGCCCAAGAATGCCAATTGAAAAATTGTGCATTATTATTGTCAAAAGGCCATGCAATATTTACAATTTGCATTGACTTGAGTTACTCATTAATACTTGATAGAACATGGACCTTAAAATACTAATAGTATTATCATTAAGACATAGCCATAAGCTTTTAAAGTTGCATCGTTAACGTTTTTTGTAAAATTAAAGCAGATTGATAAATTTAAAGTTCCATTGCTTCTGCTGCCAGCTGATCTCTGAGAAGTTCCCGGAGTCTTTTTATCGTTCTAATACGTGTTTTGATACCCCTTTCCATCAACAAGTTTTTTATTTCTTCAACAGTCATTTTGTCAACATTTACAGTACCCGGGACTGCTGGTGCAGCTTGTTGACAAACTCGAATACGTTTGGCACGATTTTCAATGATATCTGTTTCCCAGTATTGTTGGGTATGCTTTTTGTAAGGTCTTGGGCACCTTTCATAACTGGCAAGATTTTCCAATCTTTTTTCGACCAGCAAGACGTCTTTGGGTGCATCCCACTTGTTGGAGCGCTGCAAATGAATGCGCCGACAATCGTCATTCAATTTTTCCACACCTTAAAAGTTTAACAAAGGTAAAAAAGATGTGTAAGAATAATGGTATTATAAAGACTATAAAGGAATGGCATTATTGATCTATATTGGACATTCATCCATCCAAATCATTGTAATGCTTATTGGTACAAAAAATGAAATTGAAACCACAGGGCATCATTGTCCAAGATTGAAAATTTTAATTATTACCTTTCCTGAAGGGAGCACTGATCTGAAGCCTTAACATATTACAGTCTTTTCTTGAGATCAGTGGATGTGGATATTAAGGGCCAACATGGGATCATGAGCTGAAAACCATTGGCGGAACAGCAAGTTACCAACGCAATTAGTCTAATACGATTATTGATACTATAAGCGACATTGTGTTGCAAAATGGTTGTAAATATTTTGTAATATGTAAGCAGTGCGAACTCAGTAGTAAGCAAATGGTTTTGTTTGGAATAGAAACTACTGTAGGACATGAATAAGGTGAGTTTTAACTTTTAAGCGCTTTTGAAAGTTGCCGATTGAGAGAGATTCATCCACGTGAAAAATACATAAAACCCTCGACGTTTCAGACGAAGTTCTATTTGTATTTTAGGTTAGTTGTATCTCTCTCAATTAGCAAATTTCCGTTGTTATCTTTGCTAATTGGTCTATTCCATTAAAAAACCCTACCCCCTATCGAGGGCAAGGGTTTTACAATACCTCGATCTGTCTTTAATCAAAACCCCTCTAAAGAATTTAGTGTTTTACACTGACCCCTGAAGAAATTACAATCAAAATACCTTACCCCTGAGGATTTCCAGGGCAAAATTTACTTACCCCAGAGGAATTCCAGGGCAAAATGTCAATATTGTTCCCGGGGCATATTGTATTGTCTATGAAAGCTAATAGCAACCTAAAGTTTGCAAGTTAAACATGCTTATATAAAATCACGTTTACTTTTTTAAGTATTATAATTTACCTTGACCAGTAAATATCTTAATACTTCTGTGATTTTTCATGAATTGAGGTACATGATAAACCATGCTATGCATGTACGGGGTTACACGAGCTTTTTCATGGCCAAAGCATCTCCCTCCAAGCGAGCTGAAGTGTGAAACCCAGTTGGAAGCCTACATGTATAAGCAATGAGCAAAATACAAAAGTTAAGTTGAAGGTGCTTTTGTTTTGGTTAAAAGATATCATCTAGTCTATGACTTTAGTTTAATTGAGGCATACTTATAAGCATCCTACAGGTGAAGAAATAAGAAATTAGTGCTAATCGTGTGGGCATGGTAACCTCAAAATTCATATTTATAGTTAAAATACCTCAAGGAAGTATTTCTGAATATCTTCATCACTCAGGTTTTTCTGACCCAGCAGGGTATATAGTTGATCAAAATCCTAATTAGAGATAAAAAAATTAAATTTTTCATCAAATATACCAAGATACATATAGCCTACCTAGTTTGTAAGTCTGTGTTTATCAAAAAGACTGCATTGGCTCAATCGAGAAGGCTTACCTTCCATAATTTGATAACAGCCTCTTCAGTGTCAGGCATAATAACCCCCTTTAGTTTATCAGGCAACTTTTTTAGTAATAACTTTTTAGCCGACCCCATCAGACTTGTGAAATCGTACATTCCACTTCCACTTCCATCTCCATTTGTTTTTTCCCAAACCTGGAAAGAAAGTCCACAACTCCTAATTGCTTCAAGTAGATCCTCCATATGTTGATTACTCCTTTTGGATGGTGCTTTGTTTAGGTTGTCCTTTTTGTCCCATTCTAGCGCTGCTTCAATTAAATTCTTTGTCAATTTATCTGAAATACAAGAGCAATGTATAATACATAACAATGTTCCAGGATACTGAATCAGAAATATAATAAATAAATAAATGTACATACTGCCTGGTGGTATGTTTTAGTACCTGTTATTCGCAACATCAGATGGAGCTCATCTAATATAACATTCTCTAAGGGTATGTTAACAAGTGGCATATGCTCACAGGAATATTCTCGCTTTTTTGCACACTCTTTGATCTCTTTCAAGGATCTAACAATGTGATCACTCCAGTAGTATTCCTGTGACTTTGACATATCATATCTATTAACACATTGTGCAAGAATTTTGGGAGATATTTATTACCATGGTGATGAAGATATATTTTAATACGTTCTTTATTTTTAAGAAAATATATTATATTGCAGTTACCTTTCATGTTTATGGATTTTGCACCATAAACATGCATGGTCTGAAGTTGCTCCCTTCATCCCCAAGACAAGTAGAAGAAACTTTGGTACATATTTAAGAAATATGAAAATAAGCTTTTGGATGTTTAAAACAATTTTCTTGCTTACTGTACTCTAGTTACTGTATTTCTGTCATATATGTATGTACATTCGTCGGAAGTTGGGAGGTCGGGAGATGGGAGGTCAGGAGGTGGGAAAAGAGGAACACTTTGTGCAAATGTTCCATCAGATTTAAATTAAAACAGCATATATATATATGACATATAAAGCTTACCTTATAATCACCTCCCAGAAACATTTCTAAAGGAATATCTTTTTCATCAATTGATATCTTTTTCTCCTTCACTAATACGTTCACTTGTTTAAATATAGCAGCACATGAAGTCTGCAGCAGTTCGTACGATTCCTGACCCTTGATTATGGCTATTGAATGGTTTCCTGCAGATGACATTATTATGGTTTGTCAGATTGTACTGTACATAGAGATTATAATTAATAACACTAGAGGGGGCATCGTAATCTTAACATCAGGCAAAAAAAGGAATTGGGGGACGAATTCAAGTCCCGGATGTGTACTCATTTTCCCATCGGGCACCTAAATTTGTCCCCCATTTTAGCCACGTACCCAAATTTTAACCTTGATGCCCCATCTAGTATTATTTATCATCTCTATGTCACTGTATGTATATTGCTACATTACTCTTTAAGATTATACCTCTTGAGGCCATTACATCATCATCTTTGTTTAACACTGCAAATGAGATCACAACAAAATTTGTCAGTTTTGACATTTTTGCACCATCCCCTGAAAGCTTGATCTTTAACTTGAAGCCTGGATCATCAATGTTGATGTCTTTACTTGTAATCTGCAAAATAAAAAATACTGTACTATTGAATACATAGTATGGTCAACAGTACAACTTTAGTCCTAATTCAGGTTAATATCCCATGATGAGGAAATTCAAATACTGTAGGTCCTGGGTCTCAGTCACTCTAAGGAAAATGAAGGCTAAGGTACCGATAATACAAATACTTTCTCAGTCTACAGCAAGTAAAATCAAAGTCACATTGAATGTGGCAGACACGATTCAAGTACTGTAGTGTCATTTAGGGCAGGGGGTCTAGAGGGACTGTTTACTTCAATACGGGTACAGCAGGGCAAGGGGGAAAGAACTTATATCTGAGAACTGTTGCTCCTATGTTTTAAAGAAACAGTACATGTACTTGCCATCTTTCTGATATAAGATTGCAATTCGCACTTAAAATCCAGTTGAACTCCTTCAGCCTGACCAGGTGTCCTTGTTATGTGACATAGTGAATTAAGTTGTTCTTTACATTGTTTGATGAGGTATGACCGTGGCAATTGATTTCCTCCTTCACTCATTGTCAGTTCGTGATATGCAGCATCGCTTACACAGAAATTGTCTAACAAAAATAGGATATTTTTTACTTTTTCTTGCTCTTCTTCAGTTAGGTCTTTATAAGCTCTTGCATGATTGGACTCGTTGTAGGTTATTGTGTGCTCAGTACCCTTTTGATCCAAAAGATTAATGGATTGTAATTCAAGGCCGAAGGTCTTTGCAAACCAAAGTGCTTGTTCAATTTTAGTTTTTAGTTCTTTTAGTTTTCTCCTTTGTTGACGTTCGCCAACTTCACAAACCTTTTTACTTTTGTTGTCAAAGTTAACATCTTGTCCAATGTTCTCGATATACGTGTAGAGTTCCAGATTTTCGGTCTGTAGGATGTCGAAGTTCTGGTGGGCATCTTTCTCAGCCTTTTGGGCATCCTTCATTTGGCTATATAATTCTTCACATCGGGATTTAAGGATCTCGTTTTCTTTGCACATTTGTTCGTTTTTTGCCTGTTCTTGTTTTAGCTTAGATGCTAGTTCTGCCATTGTCTGAAACTCCCCTGCACGTACCGAAATATTGACTACATTAAGGTTAAGTTTCCTGAACGTTGTGCCATTTGCCCCTACATATTTGGCTGCAACTTGGCAACACAACCGCCTTAAACGACCTTCAATTCTCTCGCAGTTTTCTCTTATTTTATATCCACTTATCTGGTTCAGATAGTAGTTGAGTATTTCGATCCAGCTGCAGTTGATTTGGTTCAGTAAACCATCTTTGGCTTTGCAAGTATACCAATACCGTAATGTAATATATGGGATACGTACGGTAAAGACAACTTGTTCAGAAGACACACACTGTTTTCCGACATAATTCAAACACTGATTTGGATTAACAACTTGAATGTGGTTTTCTACCTTTTGCAAGTCCAAAATTTTAACGATATCTGACATTTTAAAGCTACATTATATCAAAACAGAACTGGAAAACTTGCAGTGTTTATAAAGTTGTATTTAATTTTGCCGCCACTTCGCGGCTCGCGCAAGCAAATAGTTGTTTTGGGAGTCCACTGACCAAAAGAACTGCATATATACCCTAAGCATAGCAGTAGAAAAACAAGCGTTTCTTGCTGATTATTTTGGTAGTAAACAAGGCCGGTTTTCCGTGAAAAAAACTTAGTTTTTTAACTTATTCTGGTGTAACGATCGCAGCGAGTGATTACGAGTCATGTTTGCCGTGATTTTACAAGTTTTTTTCACATTCACGGACAAAATGCAGAGCCGATATACGATGTTTTTTTGTGAAACTTGGAAGGTTAACTGTACTATTATTGGTCTAATGAAATCCATCGAGGCAAATCCGGATATTTGAACAAGATCACAATTATCGTGGATTGAATTCTTCGACGAGTGGTAAATAATACTGCGTTAATACATATTATATGGCGGAAAAAAAGTAATATTTAATCGAAGAATGCAGAGGCACAATTCAGACTATCTATATAAAATGCATAAAACTGAAAACATGGCATACCGCTCTAATCAATCACGGCAGGGCACTTGTTTTAAGTAAATCTTTAAAAGCTCTATTTTGTGTTTTTTGTTTATTACAAGCTAAAACTCTATAAAGTTAAATGTTATTTTCATGCTTAATTTACGAGCATGCGCAGTAGACGTGTCCGCGATTTCTGGCCATGATAAGTGCATGTGCCTAATTATTAAACTATCAAAAAGGATGCAACAACTGGCGGCCAGACCCCATATGTGTCGTTCTTGGTATGAGAGTCAGGTATGCTGATAAGCAAAATTGTAATGTATGCATATAAAATGTGAATTTTTACTCCAAAATTTTTCCAGAAATGAAAAATTAACCCATTGAGTTGCATTGCATCCCAATGTACCCAATTCTGTCTAATGCCAGACAATTTTACTTGTTAAGGGGAGAGAGCTGGCCCTCAATGGGTTAATCAAGACTATCTGCCCACAATGTTAACCCATTGAGTTGCTTTGAGGCCCAAATTATGAACCCAACTTTGTTATTTTACTCTGTCTAATGCCAGACAGTTTTACTTAAAGAGAGCACTGCCACCACTCAATGGATTAAGTGTTACCCACATGCATAACTGCTATGTTCTTTCTCTCAAATAGACATCCTTGCCGAAGCAAGTGGTAGGAATGAGACAGGTAAAAAATGCAACTCAATTGTATTAACAACTAGTTAGTATTAGTAATACACGTTAATTTTAGACATAGTTGTAATAAATGTGATGTTATAATAATCACATCCTTCTCCAATACAGTATGTTTATGAAAGAAGTCAGAATATGTTTACTATTCCAATGGTTACTGAGCTTCGGATGCAAAGTATACAAAATTTAAAATCTGGTATTATATGAGTATCCAGGATATATAGCAAATTATGGGCACAGAGCAATTTATTTAAATTATTTTCCATTTGCATGTAGACTTGTTTCAAAACAACATAAATCATATTGCCTCATTTAAGGGGGAATGTTTTGCCTAAGAGCAGATTACTAGACAAAATTACTAGAATATTGTGAAAAGAATTTTTCTATTAATTTTAAAGAAACATATAATGTTGGTGAAATCACCGCAAAATTGGTAGCGAAAGCATTTTGGAAAGAAGAGGTCAACCAAGAACTTTCAGACTTGGGAATAGATGAAAAGTGGACTTTCGTGCCTAATGCAGCCGGGTGCTTGAGTGGGACCTATGATGATGCCATGGAATATGCAAATAAGCATCGCAGTCACAGTATATATTCACATGATTGCTCTGACTTGTGCAAAAAGAAAGGTAATATTCAGTACATAATATGAAAAATGTACCTGAAAATGTAGCTATATAGACAATGATGGCAAATTAATACTCATTTGTGGAGTAATTATAGACATTATAATAGATTGCATTTTCATCCAATTAATTATTAATCCTTAAGCTGCAATGGATCCCATTGAACCCTACTTCACTCTGTCCAGTGCCGGATTATTTGTTTTAAATATCTGTGACAGCGTAGATATACAGTAGTGCCCAATCTCTCAACAAAGGGGCTTTGCTCGAAACGAGTCAAATTATTTTACTCTACTGTATTTAATAACAAGATGATTTTTCTCATCAAGATTCATTGTAATACAGTAGTTGACAATGCTAATATACGAATGTCTCTTATTCATTCAAAAAGCTGCACAGCAGCCAGGGATGCTGGGCAAAGCACTATAATGATCTATAATTGTGCATTTAAGGTTAACTTTTGTTGCATACATGCTTCAATGTTTTTTAAAGTGCATTCATGCTAGTGCTGTGCAAAGGCTAGCTACAGTAGTGCTACACTCTCCTAATTTGCCCTATTTTATCATTTTCAGGTCAATGGGAGAGTGCTGCCACTCAATGAGTTAAATTAATGAGTCTACATGCTCTATGTATTTAGTACTAAGTGTTTGTAATTTTTGCATTTATTACCTGTAGTTTGTGTTGCACTATACGTGGCTGATGGCAACTGGAAACTTAGATATGCGCATTGTATGTGGAAAGTTCCAGTTGTGATTGAAGGATTTGGCAAGATTAATTATCCATCAGTCTGTCCTTTAACACCGGTTCGTGGAAAGGCCTTTTGTGATGCCCATGTGAAAGTTGCAGAAAAACAACAAATTAAGACGGACTTGAGAGAATTTTTGAAGTCATGTGGGTCAAATGAGAATGATTGCTGTGAGACTGACAGTACATATGTAGTGTACTACTTGTATGTCTAATAGTGTATGTACAGTATATAATTATACAAACAAATCACACATAATTCATGAAGTTTAATATTAGTATCATGCTGTACTGAACTAACAAAATAAGACTATTGGACAAGTATCCCAATGGTTGCCGGTTCGATTCCCACCATCGTCAGGCAAAAAAGTTTCTTCAGCCTGCCTGGCACACACACAGAATAACATCAGGCCCACCAGTGACATCAATGCATGACGTATTTAATTGTTTTTAAACTGAGGGGGGCATTTTTTAATTGATCGATCATTTGTAATGTAATGCAACGCAGGGTTGTGGTTGTGTATAGTTTTAGGATTTCCACTGTTTTTTTATATTTATAATAGAAATGGTTTTACTAAGCCATGACAAAATGGAGGAACAGCTTGACAAGTTGGCAGAGTCCAGTAATGTGAATGCTACAACCTATCAAGGTAAAATTTCAATTCTCAAGTTTACGAGCATATATGCAAATGTTTCTTTTGGAATTGTTTATTATGCTCAGGGGTGTCAGAACTATGGAGTGGCTGCCCCTTTGTCCTTTTCCCTTTTGGGGGCGGCCTGAAACTGAAAAATATGTGACAAGGGGCGACCCCAATTTTTTAATACTTTCCTGCTCATTTTTAATCTCACGCCTTTTTCGTATCCCACAAAATGTTTCGCCTTTTTTAGTTCCTATAATCGTTGTTTCCATAGTTTATTACGTATATGCAGTTCACCATAGCGGGCATAGGAGTCGGAGTAAATAACAACCATTTTGAATAGTGGTCCTCTAATTATTTAGGCTACACAATGTCTTACACCAATATTTGTCTCATTACCTATTTTACGCCAAAAAATTTTTCAATATTTGGTATTTATCACACATCGCCCCCCTCCTTGAAGGCTTAAAGTTCAGTATCTTTACCTTGAATGTAATTTGTTATTTGCAGAAACAAAGTAAAAATCTACAGTACAAGAACTTATAAATTTAGCATTCCAAATTTATATTATTTATTTGTTATCAATGTGTAGAATTTCGTAAACCGGTTTGACAATTTTTTTATTGCGAAGTTCAGAACCCAATCTTTTGAGGTTTGCAATAAATTTTACCAGAAGATCTACTTCTTTCGTGTTTCGCGTATTTCACCTGCCATTGGATGGGTGAAGATTTACATGTACCGTGTTAATTAACAAATTTTTTGTTATTGTACACAACAAAATTTATAATTTTTAAGGGACTTCTGACTTCCTTGAAAAGTATCATAATGCTATTGATGGTGCGAATAGTGACCAGATAGAGGACATACTGTGCAACAAAGATACTGGAGGAAAGACGACTCTACACAGTTGGTCCAGAGGTTCAATGTGGATCGTTACTGCAGGTGGAATTATAGAGTACTTTCAGCCTTTGTACAGGTTAGTTTGAACTCGTAAAATGTTTTCAAAATAAATTTTAATTCATTACAAATTATCATATAATTGTAACAAATCGTGTACGTGACACACTGGAATAAGTGAAGATCTCGGAACACTCCAGCAACAAGAAAAATAATTGCATTGTGTTTTCTCAATATTGTATCAGCTATTAAGTTACCACTGTACTTTCGTTATCTAGATCTACAGATCTCCCCCTCCTTGTACAAATGGATTTTTAAACATACAGTATTATTGCAACAAACATTTTAAAATAATTTTCAGTTTTCTTCCATTAAGGTCAGAATCTCCAACTCAGGCCTTCCTCATATTTATGTCTTGGCTTTTGTTAAAATTTAAGCCCATGATAGAAAATGGCTTGGATAATGAAGAGGTCACGAAGGCTATTGAATCAACAATACTGTCCTACGACAATATGTGCCACGTGGATAACATGAAGATATGTAGTCAAGACCTACCCCTTCCTGCACCACTAAACCTTTCATGGAAGCTTCTTGGTAAAGTTATTGACAGGCTTCACTTGAGAAATCACAAAGACCCAAAATGCAAGAAATATTATGATCCAGATGGGAAAGTGCCTAAAGAATTAAGAGGAGAATTTTTTCTATGTCGCGTATCATGCGGTCAAAACGTATGACGTCATCGCATGCGATCTCATTATGCAATTTAAAGATGGCAGCTTGTTAATTGCCGATTTGCCGGCTGTTTACTTCAATGAAATTTCGTTCTGTTGCCGTTCTCTATAAGGTTCGAAGGAAGCCTTGCAGAATATTTTTCTCTTCACAAGATCATTTTAAACGGAGTATATATATATATGGCTGGAGAATTGCTAACAGGAAGGTGCCGGGGAGAGAATTTTTAAGAGAGTTTTCACATATATTTCGAAGAATCGAACTACTAAGGTGACAAGGTCTGTCTACTCTGTGCAGACTGTTCTTGGCTAGGGGGTCGGTGGATAATACAAAGCAAAAGGTATGTTGTATACATGTGCTATATATCTTAATTGTTTTTTTACTAATTCTAGATTAAAAATTACTTTTGAGCATTCGTTGGAATATATTTTTTGAATACAATTCGCCAAACAGGAAAATTTGCTTTCAATGCATGCAGTTTATAGAAGGGAAATTGTGGTTTTTGTATTATTTTTGCAGTTAATTTGTCTGTATGAAGTTGTATAAAACAATACCAAATTATAGAGATAATTTTGGAATGATATACCAAAAAGAAAACAGGTTGAAAATTGTTTTGAAAAATTGAATCAGAATTGTTGAGTTTATGTATCTGAGTGATGTATTTTTTTTAAAAGAAAAATTGAAGTTATCAAAAAATATTATTTTAGAACTGTTTTGCAGACCTGCAATGCATTTCACAATTGTGTTGTCTATATTATCTTGGAAAAAATACCAGAATAGAGAGATTTGGAGTGGTACGCCGAAAAGAAAATTTAGGTTGAAGATTGTGAATTTTGAATTTGATTGCTGTAATATGGCATTCTGACCTCATAGTGTCATGCCTGTTTAGTTACCAAAATTTTATTTAGAACTGTTTTGCAGACCTGTAATGCATTTCACAATTGTGTTGTGTATATTATCTTGGAAAAAATACCAAAATAGAGAGATTTGGAGTGGTACGCCGAAAAGAAAATTTAGGTTGAAGATTGTGAATTTTGAATTTGATTGCTGTAATATGGCATTCTGACCTCATAGTGTCATGCCTGTTTAGTTACCAAAATTTTATTTAGAACTGTTTTGCAGACCTGTAATGCATTTCACAATTGTGTTGTGTATATTATCTTGGAAAAAATACCAAAATAGAGAGATTTGGAGTGGTACGCCGAAAAGAAAATTTAGGTTGAAGATTGTGAATTTTGAATTGATTGCTGTAATATGGCATTCTGACCTCATAGTGTCATGCCTGTTTAGTTACCAAAATTTTATTTAGAACTGTTTTGCAGACCTGTAATGCATTTCACAATTGTGTTGTGTATATTATCTTGGAAAAAATACCAAAATAGAGAGATTTGGAGTGGTACGCCGAAAAGAAAATTTAGGTTGAAGATTGTGAATTTTGAATTTGATTGCTGTAATATGGCATTCTGACCTCATAGTGACATGCCTGTTTAGTTACCAAAATTTTATTTAGAACTGTTTTGCAGACCTGTAATGCATTTCACAATTGTGTTGTGTATATTATCTTGGAAAAAATACCAAAATAGAGAGATTTGGAGTGGTACGCCGAAAAGAAAATTTAGGTTGAAGATTGTGAATTTTGAATTTGATTGCTGTAATATGGTATTCTGACCTCATAGTGACATGCCTGTTTAGTTACCAAAATTTTATTTAGAACTGTTTTGCAGACCTGTAATGCATTTCACAATTGTGTTGTGTATATTATCTTGGAAAAAATACCAAAATAGAGAGATTTGGAGTGGTACGCCGAAAAGAAAATTTAGGTTGAAGATTGTGAATTTTGAATTGATTGCTGTAATATGGTATTCTGACCTCATAGTGACATGCCTGTTTAGTTACCAAAATTTTATTTAGAACTGTTTTGCAGACCTGTAATGCATTTCACAATTGTGTTGTGTATATTATCTTGGAAAAAATACCAAAATAGAGAGATTTGGAGTGGTACGCCGAAAAGAAAATTTAGGTTGAAGATTGTGAATTTTGAATTTGATTACTGTAATATGGCATTCTGACCTCATAGTGACATGCCTGTTTAGTTACCAAAATTTTATTTAGAACTGTTTTGCAGACCTGTAATGCATTTCACAATTGTGTTGTGTATATTATCTTGGAAAAAATACCAAAATAGAGAGATTTGGAGTGGTACGCCGAAAAGAAAATTTAGGTTGAAGATTGTGAATTTTGATTTGAGCTGTAATATGGTATTCTGACCTCATAGTGACATGCCTGTTTAGTTACCAAAATTTTATTTAGAACTGTTTTGCAGACCTGTAATGCATTTCACAATTGTGTTGTGTATATTATCTTGGAAAAAATACCAAAATAGAGAGATTTGGAGTGGTACGCCGAAAAGAAAGTTTAGGTTGAAGATTGTGAATTTTGAATTTGATTACTGTAATATGGCATTCTGACCTCATAGTGACATGCCTGTTTAGTTACCAAAATTTTATTTAGAACTGTTTTGCAGACCTGTAATGCATTTCACAATTGTGTTGTGTATATTATCTTGGAAAAAATACCAAAATAGACAGATTTGGAGTGGTACGCCGAAAAGAAAATTTAGGTTGAAGATTGTGAATTTTGAATTGATTGCTGTAATATGGCATTCTGACCAAGGTCTTAGCTGGAGGGCCGTGTTGGCCGTGTTATCGCGGCCAAAAGTGGAAAAACACGGCTAGATAAAATGAACGCGACTTCACTATTTATATAAGGCCGTGTAGGTTCATAAAATAAGGTGGTGCTACTTACAACAGACAGAATTTCTTCCTAATAAATATCAATATTATTCTCCTTTTC